TCTACTTGGAGGTTCAGGGGTAGTTATAGTTGGGGTTATAAGGGGTTTAGGGTTCCCTTAAGGGTTCTATAGGAGTTTTCGTTTTATCGGAGGGGGTACCTTACTTTGGGGACCTTAAAATAAGGATCTTATGATTTAGGCTAGTATATTAGGGTCCCCTGTTGTCGGAAGCTCCCATAGGAGGGCCTATTTTTGTCGCCATTATTTTTCTGCTTCTGCTGCCATTCTTTTTTTTTTTTTTTTTTTTTGGCCCTGGGCCCTGTTACTCTCATACTCTTATACTCTAGTACTCTATGACTCTATTACTCTATTACCGTATGACTCTATTACTCTCTTACTCTCAAAGCTCTATTACTCTAGTACTCTATTAGTCTATTACTCTGTTACTCTATTACTCTATTACTCTATTATTATATTACTCTATTACTCTATTGCTCAAATACTCTATGACTCTATTACTCTATGACCCTATTACTCTTATACTCTTACTCTATTGCTCTATTACTCGATTACTTTATTACTCTAATACTCTGTTACTCTACTATTCCATAATCTTTATTTATTACTCTATTACTCTATCTACTCTATTTCCTCTATGACTCTATTACTCTATTACTCTATGACTCCATTACCTCTTACTCTAAAAGCTCTATTACTCTAGTACTCTATTAGTCTACTACTCTGTTACTCTATTACTCTATTACTCTATTATTCTATTACTCTATTACTCTACTATTCTATTACTCCATTACTCTATTATTCTATTACTCTATTACTCTATTACTCAAATACTCTAGTACTCTATTAGTCTATTATTCTGTTACTCTATTGCTCTAATACTCTATTATTCTATTACTCTATTACTCTAATACTCTATTACTCTACTACTCCATTAACTCTATTTATTACTCTATTACTCTATCTGCTTTATTTCCTCTATGACTCTATTACTCTGCTACTACCCCTACTCCTACTACTACTACTACTACTACTACTACTAATACTGCTATTGTATTGTTACTGGTACTGCTAATGTTTTTTTTTGTTTTTTTTGCCCTCGGCCCTGTTACTCTATTACTCTAATACTCTATTACTCTATTACTCTATTAGTCTATTACTCTATGACTCTATTACTCTATTACTCTGTTACTCTTACTCTATTACTCTATTACTCTATTACTCTTTACTCTATTACTCTAGTACTCTAGTACTCTATTACTCTATTACTCTAGCACTCTACCACTCTATTACTCTATTACTTTATTAGAGAGGAATACTGTAATAGAGAAATAGAGTAATAGAGTAATAGAGTAGTAGAGTAAAAGAGTATTAGAGTAATAGAGGCAAAGAGTAATAGAGCAATAGAGTAATAGAGTAATAGAGTACTAGAGTACTAGAGTAATAGGAGTAAAAAGTTATAGAGTAGTAGAGTAAGAGTACAAGAGTAATAGAGTAATACAGTAATAGAGTAATAGACGAATAGAGTAATAGAGCAATAGAGTATTAGAGTAATAGAGTAACAGGGCCGAGGGCCAAAAAACAAAAAATGACATTAGCAGTACCAGTAACAGTAGCAATAGCAGTATTAGTAATACGAGTAGTAGTAGTAGTAGTAGGAGGAGTAGGGGTAGTAGCAGAGTAATAGAGTCATAGAGTCATAGAGGAAAGAAAGTCGATAGACTAATAGAGTAATAAATAGAGTTAATGGAGTAGTAGAGTAGTAGAGTAATAGAGTAATAGAGTAATCGAGTACTAGAGTAATAGAACAATACAGTATTAGAGTAATAGAGTAACAGAGTAATAGACGAATAGAGTACTAGAGTATTTGAGTAATAGAGTAATAGAGTAATAGAATAATAGAGTAATAGAGTATTAGAGTAATAGAGTAACAGAGTAATAGACTAATAGAGTACTAGAGTAATAGAGTAATAGAGCCTTTAGAGTAAGCGAGTAATAGAGTCATAGGGTAATAGAGTCATAGAGTCATAGAGCAATAGAGTAGTAGAGTAATAGAGTAATAGAGTAATAGAGTAATAGAGTAATAGAGTAATAGAGTAATAGAGTAATAGAGTAATAGAGTACTAGAGTACTAGAGTACTAGAGTACTAGAGTACTAGAGTACTAGAGTACTAGAGTAATAGAGTAATAGAGTAAAGAGTAATAGAGTAATAGAGTAAGGGTATAACAGTAATAGAGTAATAGAGTTAATAGAGTAATGGACTAATAGAGTAATAGAGCAGTAGAGTATTAGAGTAATAGGGTAACAGGGCCGAGGGCAAAAAAAACAAAAAGAAAAAATAGCAGTACCAGTAACAGTAGCAATAGCAGTATTAATAGTAGTAGTAGTAGTAGTAGTAGTAGTAGTAGTAGTAGGAGAAGGGGTAGTAGCAGGGATTAGCAGGGTAATAGAGTCATAGAGTCCTAGAGTCATAGAGGAAATATAGTAGATAGAGTAATAGAGTAATAAATAGAGTTAATGGAGTAGTAGAGTAGAGTATTAGAGCAATAGAGTAATAGAGTAATAGAGTAATCGAGTAATAGAGCAATAGAGTAATAGAGTACGAGTATAAGAGAAAAAGGGTCATAGAGTAATAGAGTAATAAAGTTTTTGAGTAATAGAGTAATAGAGTAATAGAATAATAGAGTAATAGAGTAATAGAGTAACAGAGTAATAGACAAATAGAGTACTAGAGTAATAGAGTAATAGAGCTTTTAGAGTAAGAGAGTAATAGAGTCATAGGGCAATAGAGTAATAGAGTCATAGAGTAATAAAGTATAAGAGTATAAGAGTATGAGAGTAACAGAGTAACAGGGCCCAGGGCCAACAAAAAAAAAAAAAAAAAGAAAAATAATGGCAGCAGAAGCAGAAAAATAATGTGACCAGATATTCTCCGCCCCTCCCATACTACATGCAGCTTTTGAGGACTCGGTGCCCTTCGATCGGATCTTCCGGCGCTGAGCAGTAGCAGTAGTAGCGGCAGTAGCAGCAGTGGCAGAGTAGCAGTAGCAGTAGCAGTGGCAGTGGCAGCGGCGGTGGTGGTGGTGCTGCTGCTGGTCGTGGTGATGGCAGTGGTAGAGGCAGCGGCAGTGGTCGTAGTCAGAAAGAGGACGTCGTCATCGTAGTGGCAGTCGTTGAGGCACGGCGTTTTCGTGAGGGTAGGAGTTTCAGGTGCTCATGGAAGCCGCAGTCATGCCGCTGTCAGAACCCTTGTTACTGGTGGTGGGAGTGAGAAAGAGGAATCTTGCTGCTGATGGTTTCGGCAGCACGGAGAAGCACAAAACTGCCAGAAAACAAACCGTCCAACAGAAGCACGATGGAGCAACACATGCTTTACTGCTTTACCCATACCATGGATATGTTCAAGAGAGAACCGCTGGTTTTGGCTTTCGGGTATTCGGATAAGACACAGTCGAGTATCCATGATCTCGTCTTCGGGTGCTGAAGAATTTCGTTTCACCTTCAGAGTAAGACAGTTTCACCCACATCACCGGTCGCTCCACTTTGAATCGGAGTGGGGCGGGCAATGGGCCTCAAGTATGTGGGAGGCCCTGGAGGGAGGTTCGACAACCTAGGAACGTTTTGCATGTCTTTTAGAGGTCTAAAACCCGGAACTCCTTAATCAACCCTCGACCTTGAACCCAACACCCGAACCGTCAAGGTGTTGAAGTGCATGGTTCGGCTCTGTTTCCTAGATGTATGTTGGCTTCCTACAGAGCGATGGGGTACTGCTATCCTTTTCTTAGCAGCTGTGAACCGCAGATTCCATTTACTTCGGCCCCACAACCTGGACCCCACACTCTGCCTGAAGCATAATCACATGAATCCCAGACACCAGCCCCTGCAACGGCAGAGAGAGAGAGAGAGAGAGAGAGAGCCCCAAAACCCTAAGTTCCCCTCACTTCTACACACCTCGCCAGGCATGCCCGAGAGCGAGTGTCAAAAAATTCCCTTCACAACAGACCCCATCGGAAGCTTCGGACCCTGGCCTCGGTTGCACTTAAACCCTAAATCTCACATGAGGTGTGCCTGCGTTGAGCGAGTGTGCGAGTCGAAACTCTCCTCACAACAGTAACCTCGGTTGTACCACTTGGTGGGATGGGCAGAGCTCTTCAGCTGCTCGGAAAAAGGGAACTTCTCTTCGGAAGTCATGTTGGAGGGCACGAGTCTGGTGTGCAGAGCTTCAGGTTTAGGGCGTTCAGGGTTTATCCGCTCTTTCCCTTCAAAGGGTTTGCCGGGGGTGTTGGTGCTCGCGCCGTGGTTTCAGGTGCAGGGCTGTCTTCAATCGAAAGGCCTAAGCCCGTCCTGAACGGTAAGGATCCTGAAGGGGACTTGATGTTCAAATTGGATTTCGTCTGTTGCCTTGGCACAGAGAGGGGCAACGAAATTCAGGGCCAGCGATGATTGGTTAGAAGTATTGGGGTACCTTATCTTGGGGTCCTTATAATAAGGATCCTACTATTTAGGGTACCCTTTTGGGGCCTTCTCAGCTTAGTCACGACTGCAGTAGGTCGGGGCAAGGCCCCCGCCTTCTCTGAGTTTGTGACAGTCGAAGTCCCGGCTTCACGCCCAACAGCCCCAAAGTTGAACCAGCCCAAAGCTTTTCTCCTGAAGCCTACCCTAAACATCCCTAAACCCTAGACCCTGTAAACCCTAAACCCTAGCGTCTAGAGCGATGGACCGTCGTGGTGCGAGCGAGATGGCCACGTCACTTAAAAAAAGACCTAGACCCCAAACCCTAAACCATAGGCCTCGCCTGAGCGCCGAAACCCTAAAGCTGAAAACGCATCAGCTCGGCAGCCCCTTAGGGCCCCTAAACCCTTGACTCCAAAACCTAAACCCTACAACCCTAAACCCTAAATCCTAAACCCTGTAACCGCTGCGGGCTTCGTCCTTGCTAGGTAGGAGAGACGAAAACCCCTACAACCCTAAACCCTGCACCCCTAAACCCTGCAACCCTACAACCCTACGACCCTATACCCTAAACCCTGGAAGCCTTAAGGGGCTCTTGGTGGCACCTGGAGCCGCGAAGCCTCGCCTTGCGCTGCCGGGACCGCCGAGCTGCCGGTGAGGTGCCAGGGTTCGGGGTAGGGTGTCGGGGTTTGAGTAATTAGTAACTAGTAGTATTTATGATTATTATCAGTATTATTATTGTCATTATTTTGTTATTAGTATTATCATTTCTCGTATTATTATTGGTGGTGGTAGTAGTAGTAGTAGTAGTAGTAGCTATGCGCGCCTCCAGGCGCCTGGTGTTAACCTCTTTTATTCTGCATTTTTGGGCGTTTTGCGCTAGTAGGAGAACTAGGAGGAGTAGTAGCAGCAGCAGCAGGAGTAGTAGTAGTAGTAGTAGTAGTAGTAGTAATAGTAGTAGTAGTAGTAGTAGCAGCAGTAGCAGTAGCAGTAGCAGTAGCAGTAGCAGTAGCAGTAGCAGTAGCAGTAGCAGTAGTAGCAGTAGTAGTAGTAGTAGTAGTAGTAGTAGTAGTAGTAGTAGTAGTATGATGCCCCTATAGTGGTTTGCGTTGCGAGAGGATAGTATAGCCCAAAGCCCGATATCGATCATGAAGGTCCATATATTAGGCCACAGGAGGTCTTGCGGAGGGTTCTTGGAACTGCTTTCAGCATGACGCGTGATGCCTGACAGTGAAGCTGGGTCGTCGGTCGAGGGCCTGCTTGTCCACCAGATGTCCGGAGACGCCCCGTAAGCCCAACTTTGACAACTACACTTTGTGTACCCCCAACCCTAGCGGGGTTATTGCTGTAAGTTATTGAGGTCCCCATGGTATGTTGCATGCCTCCGCTGGCGAGTCCAAGCGTGACTGTCCGCAGGAACCCTGTGTGCCAAACCCTGCAACCGCTAGCCTCGGGGCTTTCCGACTGGGACAGCAGCGGACTGGGAGGAAGAAGGCGCTTAAAAAAAACAACCCTGCAACCGCAACCCCAAAGACGAGACCTCGCTTGTGGGCCTCGTCCCAGCCATGCGCGAGGGAAAGAAGCACGAGACACTGAACCCACAAAGCCCGGCGGAGTCCGAGAGTTGCGAGAGGCACAACACAAACCCAAGGCCCTGAGAGCCAAACCTCTGAACCCAAATCCACCATCCGAAACCCCAAGACCTAGGCAGTATATGGGTTTGGTGCAGGTGATGCAAGCAGCGGGCACACTCTTCAGAAAGCCGGAGCACCCCGGAAGCAAGTTTCCATGCCGTGCTCCAAGGTCGCAAGCTCCAGCTACGCAGAAAACCCGAGACGAAGTAAACTTAAACCTAAGCAAACAACCAAGAGCTTTATCACCAACACCGTTTTGCTCCTCACTAGGCCCCAAAACTAAAGCCGCAAGCCCGAACAAGCCCTAAACAGCCCCGAACCCCAGCAAGGCTGCGTCCCCTCCCCGGGGGCGCCTGGCGCTTGCGCCTCCACGGGACGGAGCGGATGTCGTTGCCGTGCCCAGGCTTAAGGGTTTGGGGGTTCAGAGGTTAAGAGTCCATGTCTTCAGGCGATTGCACAAGTCCTGATGCACAAAGAGGTTAAGAGCCGCCTTAGACCGGATGCGAAAAGGTGTTTAGGTTCCCAGGGCCCGGGAGTTCCATGAACGAATCTCACACGTCCAGATACACCACAAAATAAGTTCAAGGAGAAAAGCTTAATGCAGAAATAAATGCAACAATAGAGGGATGGCATATGGGATCTGGGCATCCCATGAATCGGGGTTTTCCCCTGCAAGTCCACCAACTTAGCAAAGTTTGCGGGACGGCACGGTTCAATGGCGGTCGCCACCGTATGACCATCGCCTGAGGGCTGAGATATGAAGCATTCGGCTGTAAGGCCTCTGTGAGGGTGAGATTGGGCAGGCTCTCATCCCCAAAGCCCTCGTCCATTTCTTAAGGCCCTTATAGTACATAAACCCAACAGTTCATGAGCAAGCCGGGGACCTGCCCTGGACCTGGATGCCAAGTTTTTGAGTCGGCCTTTCTTTCTTCGGTCCCTGAAACTGCGCCCGAGCGGCCCTGACAGCGTTCTTTCGTTGGAGACAACGCATACATGGGTGGTTGTCAACATTATGGTCCCTTTTTTGGGTCCCTAAAAAAGTGCGGCACCTAATACTTAGGGTACCCAGAAAGGGGCAACAATTCTGACAACTACCCACATCCATGCATGCGTGCATGGATGCACTTATGGAAGGGCACATACATGCATCTACAGTGCATACCATACTTCCGACTAGACAACACCCATGCAAGGAACACGTGAATCCTCATCCCCAAACCCACGGTGACCCTCGTCGTCAATCCTTGCCTACCAGCGCCGAGTGAGAGTCGCAGCCGTAAAGCTTGCACCTAGAACACTAATTCGTAGCACCCAAAGCCGTAACCGTTTGCAGACATTGCCTGGTCAGTGTCATAACCTTCAGCCCTGAACCCTCAAAAACCTTGCCAGGTAGGAAGGCAAAACACCAAGAAGCCCATTTCCTAGGCCGCTTCGACTCCGATCTTGAGCGGTTTAGCAGATCAGGATTCAGCTCCCGGGCGGATATGAGCCCTACGCCGGCTGCGAGGCTGGCTCCACCGTTGCCCAGTCAGGTCCTACACCCGAAGGCCTAATGCCTGAAACTGGTAAAGTTTGGATCTTAAGCAACACAGAAACGACATCCGCGCATCCGTACGGCCGCGTTAAATGAACATCCGTTAGCCCTCACCCTCCAAAACCCTGAAAGAGCCATTTTTCTCGGGCGGAGCTTGAGACTCCCTTTTCACGGTAGTCTTAGCGGCTCTTCGCTGGGAGGACTGGGTGCGTGAGCTGGTGGAGCATGAGACTCGGCCAGGTCGTTGAGAAGCTTTTTTTCGGTCAAAGGCTTTTAGGGTTCATAAGACATACTATAATCCTCAAACCCTATCAAAAACCCTAAACCCGAATGTACAACATCATATAACTATAATCCGGTAAACCCTAAACCCTACTGTGCAACATAATAGCTAACGCTTCGCGTCGTCCGCCTAAAGGGAGCCCTACTTTGCAACCCTATATGTACCCTTAAAGAGCCCCCTTGAAGGGACGTTCATCGACGGACGGGGGGGGGGCAGGGGGGGGACCGCGGTTTTAGTTGATTGGACCTTTCTTGAGCTGTCCGTTCTAGTGTTGCTTGGCAGAGCCAAGCTCCGATACAGGGAACTTACCTGTAGTAGAGGAGGCTGCAAATCAATAGTAACCATGTGCCGAGAAAAGCCCCCCGCAGTGACTCCAAGGACTTGCGCCGCAGCCACCGTCGCAGTGAACAGTTCGATCATGCACTGCGCGGGGTTGCGGGGAAAAAGATGGAGGTGTTGTCGTCATTCTCTTTTGGCCTTGCAGCCGACGGACACAGCCATGTAGACGCAGAATGGGAGCAATTTGCGTTGGAAAGTAGTAGCGTTTTTGTAACTCGACAAACATTGTCGCGATTGGCGTGGGCATCATGTGCAAGGGCTGTTATGGCTATCTCTCAGAACCAACGTTTTGGACCCCTGGTGGCGATGCTGCTGATGGCGGGAATGCGAGCTGCAGCTTACCAGATGTGATGACGATCGTGATGGCGATCATGGTGATGATGACCTGGGTGGTGTTGGTGACCGTGATGATGTAGTGATGGTGGTGATGCTGCTCAGACTGAGGATGACGATGCCTGTGATGATGGTGGTGATGTTGACGATGTCGATGGTGCTAGTCGCTCGGGGCATAGCTGTTCTCTGGCATGCCGTTGCATGCCCGGGTTGACACAAGATGACAGGGGGCGTCAAGCTTGCCAACGACACCGAGTGTTTACTTAGATGTCACCCATCTCCTACTACCACTAAGTGGTCGCCCAATATGGCTTTCCACTCGAGTCCGAAGCTTTATGTTTGGGCTGGCTTTGCCCCATGCGGAGGATGCGTCAGTCCATATGAGGTTTCCCATGTGAAAGTTCAATGCTGCGGGAAGGGCTATGTGGGGTCAGAAACAGGCGGAGTGCGGGCTGCATGAGGGGCAGTGCTATAGAATTGATCTGGCAGAAGAAGGCGCCTATAGAAGTTTCCAGTGACCGCTAACTTATGTCGATGCGGTCCTGGTGTTGATTCTGACAATGGCCTGGATGGTAATGATGGTAATGAGGGTTGTAGTGACGATGATGACGGTGCTGGTGGCGATGCGTAGGCTTTATTCGTCGGATTCTCGCAGGGTCAGAGATGGTCGTGGTTTGCGATAAGGGTGATCATGACCAGCGACCCCAAAACCGTGATGGCGAGGGTCGGAATCGTCCGAGTGCTCCGACGGTCATGGGTTTGATAGCGGCCATAGCCCTGGCGATTGCGATCAGTGCTGTTTGTAAACACCCCGAACCCTAACCCCTAAACCCTAAACCCCTAAAGACTAAAGAGCATGGAGTTTTGCCCACCAGGCCCAGCTGCTGCAGACGGCGCAGCTGCAAGCACAGCTTCAGGCAAACAAGTCGAGTTCTGACGGTGTCTTCGGGCTGACCGTGAGGTAAGGCAGACTTTCGGCGTTTCATGGTTCCTGTGTCCCTAAGCCTTACAAGGGTTCCTGATGGGTTTGAAGGATGTTAGGCTTCTTGGTGTGCAGAACAGGTGGCTTGACCAAGCTTGCCAGGAAGACCAAAGTTTTTCGTATCGGCTACTAGGAGGCTCAGGCGTGTTCTTGGAGTTTGGGGTTTAGGGTGTGATTTGTGTCCATGTATTCAGGCGATTGCACAAGTCCTGATGCAAAAAGGGGGTGATTTGTAACAGTTCGCTCGAGGGTGGTTCTGTGAGCCTCGAACCTCACTCCTTTCAGTGTTCCAGGTTTTGGACCTTTGCATTGCAGGAGCCGGAAAAGAAGCACGGAACTTCACTGAACCCTAAAAGCCAAAAAGGGCTAAATGGCCCCCTGTCAAATCTGTTCTTCCTTCCAAGTCACGGCCATTCTACAACAACTTGCGCCCAATTTCCCAAACGGGGGTTTCCGAAAATAGGGGACCCTGGTATAGCACGCGAAAATAGTAGGACCCTTATTATAAGGACCCCCAAATTGGGCACCCCTAATAACCTTTTACAGGAACCCTAAGGTATCACCGAATTTTCGCAGGAAAATCCCAAACGCAGCCAAGTCAGGCCCAAGCACAGCTGCGGGCGTTGGCTTTCATGCAGCAGGTGGTCTCAGGGGTCTCAAGGGGTCGGGTCAATTTAAGGGCCGGCATAATTAGCTATACTATTTTTGGGGTCTCTTTAACGGGTTCCTTAAAGGGGTCTATAAAGGATTTATAATGGGGTTCTATATGAGGGGCGTAAACAATTTCCTATGCCTTTTTGAAGGTTCCTTTTTATATGTCTAGTATTATGGGCTCCAAAACATCATTTTCATTTTTAAGGCCCCTACATTAGCCCAAGATAGGTTTCCTCACATGTCGAATTAACCTTGGAACCCAAAGCGCGAACAACTTTCTGCTTTTCGAGGCTCCAGCCCCGCCACCGGCGCCTGTGCCGAAGGCTCCAGTGACCCCGGCGCCACCGCGCGGCTGGGCTCGGGCCCCGTTTCCCGGAGCTTTCATGCGGCAACGTCTGTCTTCAAGTGCATATGCGTTGTTGTGTGAGTGTGATCTTTGCTGCACGCTCTTTTTTTTCTCCTTGCATGCTTGCCTAACCGCCAGTTGTTGACCTCACCTGGCGAGTCCGAGTTGTGTGAGTGCAAATCTCAAACTTCAGCCCGAAACCCAAGACCCGAAAGAAGAAATCCCAAAGCCTGAAGTCCTGAATCGTCTGACATTGCCTTTGCCGGGCTTTGGCTGGGAGTACCTGGCCCTTTACCTTAAACCCAAAACCATATGCCTCGCCTGGATTGTCCGAGTGTGAGCGCCGAAACCCAAAACCCAAAACCCGAAACCCCAAACCCTGCTCTAGTCAACCGACCTGCTATCTACGAACCTCGTCTGGACATGTCCGAGTTGCGAGAGCGTAAACCCCAAACAAACCCCAAACCCCAAAACCTAAACCCCAAGCCCTAAACCCCGTCTGAATCAGGCGAGACGGAAAAGGGTCGTGCAAAGAAAACCCTAAACCCCAAACCCCTCAACCCTATAAAAGTCAACTCAACTTTAACAAAAAAACATGAACCAACAAACTCTAAATCCCAAACCCTAAATCCCAAACTCTAAACCCAGAACCCTTAAAAACAACCAAACCGAGTGTGAGTGTGCCAGGGCAAAGGCCAGGCGGCTCCCCCTAGGCCCGGTCAGCGGCCCCTGAGCGCCGGGAAGCTCAGACGCTCTCTGGGGCTCTTGAGTTCTTTTTTAAAAAATTAGTCTTCATTGGGATTTAAAGGGTTTTGAGTTTTCTTTTTTGAAAAGTCTTCTTCATTGGGATTTAGAGGGTTTTGAGTTTTCTTTTTTTGCAAAGTCTTCTTCATTGGGATTTAGAGGGGTTTTGGTGTCTTCTTACAGGTTTTAGGGCTGAGCTTAAGACCCAGGGTTTGCTTTCGGACAGTAGCTGTTGAGAGCAGTCTCAGGCGCGGTCCGGAACTATGTGCGGGTAGTCCTTGTTGAGGCTGACACTTGAAGTGATAGCATGCAGTGGGCATGCAGTTCGACTTGCGACGGGACCGAGCCCTGCACCCTAAACCTTGAAAACAACTGCCGTCGTCTCGGGCTCCAGACAAGCAGGTTGAATCCCTAAGTGTGACGGTGGGCGGAAGCGGCCAAGAAGTGCCGGACGGAGAAGAGGGAGTGGGAAATGACCTCGCCGGGGGGAGTGGCTTGACAAATTTGAGCATTGGAGTTTATCAAGATCAGGGGTGCCTCTCTCAGATGTCCGGGTCCCCTTGGGTCCACGTGCCATAAAGTGCCTCCATAGTGACTAGTTTCAGGCCGACGTAGATACTAAATTGTACGTGAAGAACAGTAATATTTTGTAGGGCCGGAAGAGTTGCCAAAATTTTTCCATGTTTCTGGTGAACACTCTGCAGCTTACCCGACAAAACCTTGCTCGAATGATGCTTAAGGCCCCTATATACGATATTATTTTAGGAGATTTTGTTGGACCTCCTGATTCACTTCTCCGACTTATGCATCGGCGGCACCTTCGTCGTCGTCTTTCTCAGGCTGCGAAAGAGCAGATCAGCAGCAGGATTGTCCTTGCAGACCCTGGCGACTGTAGTTGGCGCCAGAGTCCTGCACTTGTTGAGCTGCTCGGTTGAAGCCAGCGTTGCAGGGTCACTTGTTAGCGAAGCTATCTTTCTATCGATTGTCGCTTGTTTGCATGAGTGCCGAGGCCACTACATTGGGCTGCACTATCGCCCGAATGTGCTTCCATGGCTCCTATATCCGTTCATTGACGTAGTCAGCGCATGCATAGGCTGCGCTTTGCTTGCGTCCTTTTGTTTGTATTACTATCCCAGCTACGAGAAGGAAAAGGACAATTTCGGAATCCACATCTTCGAACGGCTTGACCTCCTGCCGAAGGACAGCCCCCTGAAGTCAAGCCCCATGATGGCCGCAAGCTTCCTCTATGCAGTAGTGGCAGTGCTGGCGTTGATGTGGTACTTCGTCAGAAGATCTCAACATGGCTTCTGGGTCAGTTACTTCTGTTGCTACTATGAAGCGATGGGAGCAGTAGCGCTGATACCTCAGCTGTGGATGTTCCATCAAGACAAGCGGGTGTCGCCCTTGTTATCGTACTTCGTGGTGCTCACAGCGTTGAACCGGTTCTTCACTCTTTGCTTCTGGATATGCTACCCGCACGTCTTCCTGTGGAGATACCCAGACAATCGCGGAGTTCAAATGGTGTCAGAGACGCTGAACCTCTTGATTCTCTCGGACTTCCTCTTCTACTGGGCCCGCTCCAAGATTCGAGGGGACGAGGAGGTTATCATCGGAGATGGAATGATGGTTTGAAGCGCCCTTCGGCACAAAAGCTGCCTGAGCGTAAAACATGCACATTCCCAGTCTTGCCTGTGTTTGGCTGAAGTTCTGGTAGCATAACGCACATATGCAGCATGCTTCAGTTTCGTCAACTTGGAGTGCAGGGCATGTCCTTTTCGTCAGTAGCTGCATCGGAGCTAACCACTTGAAGCGGCAAGTTGAGTTTATGCCTAGCAGCAAATATAGTCCGTGGTCTGTTTGCCGGGCAGGAAGCTGTTGCTCTTTGCATTGCCGCATCTTCTCCTCAGGCCAAGAGTAGACAGGTCAGTGGATTTTGTCATACCGAAGTGGTGTCTCAGCCTCGACAATGCAGCTCGGAGAACTGTGGTTGGACCTCCTGATTCACTTCTCCGACTTATGCATCGGCGGCACCTTCGTCGTCGTCTTTCTCAGGCTGCGAAAGAGCAGATCAGCAGCAGGATTGTCCTTGCAGACCCTGGCGACTGTAGTTGGCGCCAGAGTCCTGCACTTGTTGAGCTGCTCGGTTGAAACCAGCGTTGCAGGGTCACTTGTTCGCGAAGCTATCTTTCTATCGATTGTCGCTTGTTTGCATGAGTGCCGAGGCCACTACATTGGGCTGCACTATCGCCCGAATGTGCTTCCATGGCTCCTATATCCGTTTATTGACGTAGTCAGCGCATGCATAGGCTGCGCTTTGCTTGCGTCCTTTTGTTTGTATTACTATCCCAGCTACGAGAAGGATAAGGACAATTTCGGAATCCACATCTTCGAACGGCTTGACCTCCTGCCGAAGAACAGCCCCCTGAAGTCAAGCCCCATGGTGGCCGCAAGCTTCCTCTATGCTGTAGTGGCAGTGCTGGCGTTGATGTGGTACTTCGTCAGAAGATCTCAACATGGCTTCTGGGTCAGTTACTTCTGTTGCTACTATGAAGCGATGGGAGCAGTAGCGCTGATACCTCAGCTGTGGATGTTCCATCAAGACAAGCGGGTGTCGCCCTTGTTATCGTACTTCGTGGTGCTCACAGCGTTGAACCGGTTCTTCACTCTTTGCTTCTGGATATGCTACCCGCGCGTCTTCCTGTGGAGATACCCAGACAATCGCGGAGTTCAAATGGTGTCAGAGACGCTGAACCTCTTGATTCTCTCGGACTTCCTCTTCTACTGGGCCCGCTCCAAGATTCGAGGGGATGCCGAAGTCATCATAGGCAGGGTCTGATAAACTTCACCACCATGTCAGCTTGGTAGTGGGCGACCGGTTGCACCATCAGAGCTGTAAGACGATTTTGCTTTAATGAACCCGACTGTTCTTGCTAGAAGACTTCCATCACCAGTTAGTGTTGCGGAGCATAAGTCTTGTGCAGGTGACAGCTCGCAGATGGTGTGAGCTGCTTGAGAGAGGCAGCCGCCAGCCTGTTGCTGTAAGACTCTCTCTCGTCGGAGTAGGCAGAACCTCGCGTTTTTGTCGTCGCCCGTCCCTACTTGTAACAGCCAGCAACCCTAAAGTCCATGAGGGAGAGGACCCTAAACCCTAAACCAAAAACCCCAAACCCTAAGGCCAAAATGAGGGAGAGGAAGGATGAGTTTTGGTAGGAGAGCTAGGGCTCTCCTGCATAGATTTCGATGAGGAGCACATGCCTTCGCATCCGTGCAAGGTTCTCAGGCTGTCGAAGGTCCTTCTGGATCTGGGTTCTATATATATAATATACAATAGAATATAATACAATATAATAACTAATAAATATATATATATATATATATATATACATATATATATATGTATAATATAGATACCATATCTATAGAGTCCTCCTTAAAGCATGCTTTTGCGAAGATCTGTGGCCTTGACAGGGAGCCCTGTGGTGCACAGCACACTTGGCTAGGGATGTTATGGTAGGGCTTTAGGGCCACATGAATTGAATCAATCGCCAGCCTGGTCAGAAAATGTCTCACAGCCAGCACAACAGCCAACTAGCAGGCGGATGCCGACAACATCGCGACAAGATGCTGCAAGGCAGTGAAAAAGGGAGCGGGTGCACTCATTGAGTGAGCTGAAACGAAACTGCAGGTTTGTTTGCTAAGATTTTGACTGTCGTTTATCTGTATCTTCAATGTCGGTACACACTTACTTTAGTGGTGCTCGGTTTGCTATGAAGGCCGACTTGCTTGTCGCTGCCCCCATCGTTCGTTAAAGTATCGAAGTGTTGTACATCACGTCACGGCACGGACAGCTCACGACCAGTGCCTTCGGCAGCCCCGCAGCTGTGCCAGTATGCGGTTTGCTGAGACACAGGGGCTCCGGGGTTTGGCCGCAAGCAGAGGTGTCTGTGCCCGAGCCCGAAGCACCAGGAATTATTCTTTTGATTATTTTGAATATTGCTGTTATCATTCATAGTTGTTTTTGTTGTTATCATGTTTATCAATTACGTCCTTTCTAGGAAGGTGAATGAGACTGGTGCAACGACCCCGCCCAAAATCACAGGCGACCTCCTGACCCTGCTAAAGTCTATCAACAGGATAAGTCCACACAATTCTGCTAAACGGCTGTGTTTTTGTTTTAAGGTTTGTTTTGTAATTTGTTGTTCATCACAGCTTAAGCTAGTCCGTGAACCCCCAAGGCTAGTTACGGGTACGTAGCCTTTTCGTTGCTGAGGCTGCGCAGAGGGCGATCCGCGATGGGGACTTTCAGGCCGAGCCGGGAATCTAAGCTGAGCTGGGTTGTCGTTTGGGACCTTTTTGAATTTCCCCTACTATTTTGTAGAGAACCATAATAGTAAGTAATTTTCAATGGGCTTAAAGGACAACTCATACTTCTCCGGTCAGGTGCTTACTTTAACCTACCAAACCCTACTTTCTTGTAGGGTCCCTACAAACTCCACATTGAGGTTCATACCAAGAACCTGCAAAAATGTGGGTTGAGGCACATACTTTATAGACCTTACGCATCTGTGTCTGTGTACGCCCGCACCTGCCATGTGCATCCAACCATCCATCCGTCCGGACGGGTGGATATTCACGGATGTAATCGCTTGAATCCATGACACAAACTCAAGCCTCCTTGCAGTTGACTTGGCCGAATCAGTCGTTGCCTGCCCTGCACCAGTATCGGAGTCAGAGCCTAAAACACGCAGGTGCAGCGACAAGCTGGCCTCAAAGCCGCAGAGCAGGTGCAAGAGGCTCTGTAGGGCTACCGGAACTTTAGATATGAAGGGCTGTCCTGCTGATGTCGGCCTTGAGGGCTTGAGGAGATTTTGCATCTTAGGGTTGTAGCCATGCTTCTTCTGCTGTTTTGATTTAAGCCTAAGCCTTGAGAGCTGGAGCCTGGCTCGGGGGGTTGCAGGGCAAAAGGCTTTTGAGCTGAAACAAGGAAGGGTGTACAAAGGGTTGTAGGCCTTGGCTTGCTGGTTGTTAGCGAGACACGCAAGCCTGGAGTAAAAGGGTTTAGGATCTGCAAGTTGGGGTCGTGGCCTCAATTTTGCAAGATCTTGTGCGTTCAGGGGTTGAGGCAGGCATTGACTTGCTGGCGATGAAAGGACAAGATGTTGAGCGGTCTTGCGTGCACCGGCCAGAGCACAACAGTCGGCTGGCAGGGAATGCGCCAGACAACCGCAGCGGAATGTAACGGTCACAGTGGTGCGTGCACTCATGCTCAGGAACTGCTTACGAATCATGAACTCACGAGGGTTTACGGAGCCCCTAAACCCTAAACGCCAAACCCAAGACCCGGCAGTTTTCTGCTGCAAGGGTGTGTTCGCATTTAAAACCTTTTTGCAGAATGGTTACTGTAAGAGTTCAACACAGGGCTACCAGAAGGGCTTACCATGAGGGTTGCGATAAGCGGTTGCTAGGCGAGTGACCATGTCGACATCCTGAACCCGCAACGCTGCGTATAGACCGCAAGAACCAGGGTGCAGAGCATGGCCCTTCTAGAACACAGCATCTGAGAGAGAAGAATCGCGAGCCCGGAAATTGAAGGCCTACGAGCTGGCAACATGGGCTCAGAAGCAGCTCGCTCGGGCGTCGCAGCAGGTCACCCCAGCCGAGCCGATCGTGCTTTGCATGCTGTCATGTCCCTGCCAGGCTTGGTAAACCTCGAGTCTCTGGGGCTTAGAATGTATAGCACAGACTCGTCAGTATGATGGAAGCAATGCATTCAGTAGGGCTTACCATGCTCATGCATTGCGGCAAGGTCGTGTGCTAAAGTTTCAGTACCATCCGACCATCAAGAAGTCGTAACTGAAGATCTCCTAAACCCAAGGCCCACCCCCCAAGTTTACCAGGGGTTGCGAAGTTGAAGCACCCTGTCCAAGGAATTCGCGGGCATGCATATGTACTGGCGTGCCGTGGGCAGAATAAAGTGCCGCCTAAATAACAACATGGGTAGGACGCAATATTAGAGGCATGTTCAAATCTGAGGAGTAACGTATAGGGAATCCCAGCACTATTTGTCCGCAATCCGGTTTCCAACTTTGTGGGTTTACTGCAACAACCTGTCAGGGAGACGTGGGGACTGGGTTCGTTGCACCGTTCTCCTTCCCTCGTGTATCCTCTAGCCATCTATATACTATAGGGGCCTTCAGAATTACCTATACTAGTCTGAGGGTTCCTTATCATTGATTTTAGTACCACGGGCCCCAAATCCGGTTCTAATTATTGAAACCTGTAACAATCTGAACTCTAGTAGTATAGATCCCTCATAGAACCCTTTGCAGGAACCCTGTTCTAAGTATTAAGCCAGTATTAAGCCTTTAGTAGCCAGCTGCCGCAATGTGGAGGCACCTCCAGGGACATCTACCCACGCCGAGCTGGCTCACAGGATAAGCAAGCACGAGTCAGAATACACACACACATATATATATATAGTAGATAATAACATGAATATTTAAGTAAATATACAAGTAAGGAAGGTCTTGGTCTAGGATTGGTTGAAACCTCGATCTCGGAACAGTCGAGCCCTTTCGCAGCTGAAGGGTCTCAGCAAGTTTTTGTCAAAGTTGGCGAGTCCTTACTGATGACCTTCTAGTTCCCCAGTAAGGGGCATTACACGGAGAGACAGCCAAGGGCAGCAGCAGACAAATTTTCATGTCACTCGTTGAAAATTCGTCGAAAGTGGCCGACCACCTCGGCCGCATGGAAGCCGCGCGCTGCCATGATTCAGATGGGGATGCCGGCTGTGCCGCCACTTCGCCCGCATTTCTCAGCCCTGCTTCGCTAGAGAAGGGGTGTCATTCTGTGCTGCCGATCTGCAAGTCTTGGTGCCTGGAGTGTGCAGACTGCTCTTGTTGCAGGAACACGGTTGCCAGGGAGAGGCCTTTCGTATTGCGTGTACTTACAGTAACGTCGGACGCATGACTTCGCTGGAGTCGGAAGTCTGCTCTCGCAAGCTTTCAACATGCGACGAGTTTGCTTCTTGCAAGCATCATTGGATCAACGGAATTTTTCCTGCCCCTCGCATTGCCATTCGGATTTGAATGCGCGGTTCGTTTTTCTACGAGCTTCGGTGCGCAGAGATTCCGAGGAGGAGTGCTCTGAACTCGATGAGTCCAGTCTTCGAAAGTTGAAGCTTGCTTTCCATCCCGATGCAGATAGACCCTAACATAGTACCCTAAATAGTAGGATCCTTATCATAGGGACCCGAGAATAAGATACCCCTAATTTCATAAACTAAAGCTTCAAAGGTCCAGCCAGCCGAAGGGTCGGGAGGTCGAAGAAGCAACCAGCTCCAGCCTTGTTGCCCCTGCAAGCCCTTGAAGCTTCGGTAGATTATACTAGTAGTAGGGCTGACAGACCTCTGAGTCCGCGAGAGAGAGAGAGAGAGAGAGAGAGAGGGAACACCCAAAGCCCCACTCTAATCATTAATATTCGGATTCCAGCTTCTAGCAGGTTTTAAGCCCATGATACTGTACTTATAGTAAGGAATCCGCAAAATAGTATTGGTAATTCATTCTTACTGTTTTAGCGGCGCCACAAGGAAGCTCCTCTGGGAGTGCTACGGCGGCCCCGAGGGTGTCTTCCCTGCAGATCGCCGGTTGCGCCTTTGCAGCGCTGAGGACGTTCCGACGAACTGGTTCGCCCAGAGACTCCAATATCCCTTGATTAAGGAATATACCTGCAACAAGATGGGGGGTGTCCTACTATACTCTAAGGTATATTCCTTAATTCAGGGATGTTGGAGTCTCTGTGCAGGTTACGTTACGTAAGATGACTTCAGTGCTTGCTCGCAGAGTGGCTTCCGGCACATCTGCAGAGCTTGGATTCAACACCCTAAACCCTGAACCCACAAGGGGTTTGGAGTCGGGGGTTCGGGGGTTCGGGCTTTCGGGTCTCGTGACCGCGGCCTGTGGTGGAGCGGACAAAGGTGCCCCCCCAAAAGCCTATTCTAATCAT